TCATCATCATCATCATCATCATCATCATCATCATCATCATCATCATCATCATCGGGCTTCCTCAGGAACATTCACAATATAAATGACAAGAATCTAGATCTACACATAGTGTAAAAACGAAAGTGCGTACATACATGTCACAACACTTAAAGGAGCGGTGAGTACAAATCGCAAAGACCAGAGAGAAGGGAACACAAAGGCCAGAGAGGTGTATCTTTATAGGGAGTGGGCTTTGATGTCCCTTTTCCAAAATCAGTTTTATGATTTAACCCAGACGTTCTCTACTAATTTTGTATGAGGAAATGCCTTATGCATTCTGTGTTTTTCTGGATACAAAGGAAGACAGTTCTCTCATTTGTATACCCATAGTCTATGTTTCCTATATCAATCACGCGATTTGGGCTACAATCGAGAAGAACAAACGCTCAAGTTAACAGACACATAAGAAATCAGTTTACTGCTGTCAAAATTATGTACAGGCACATTCAACATGACTTTAAAATGCTAAATATTTAAAGAACTTTGCTAAGTTTCAAACGTACAGGAACGTTTCCCAAACAACGGATATTGTAAGCGAATTGCGAAGGAATTATAAACTGCTTTTGAATTTTTGCATGTGCAGTTTGAAGATTCAGTTCCATGGGAGAAAGACGTTAAGTCCCGATGTTCTTCCTCTTAAATATCTTTACAGTGTTGCAAATCCTTACCTGAGCAGTTTGAAGATTCAGTTTTGCGTGGAAAAGACATTAAATTCTGAGTTCATCCTTTTAAAATATATTTACAATGTTGAAAACCCTTACCTGGGCAGTTGGAAGATTCGGTTCCATGGGAGAAAGAGGTCCTTCCTCTTAAATATACCTACGGTGTTGCAAATCCTTTCAGTGTTGGTTATTCTTTATACAATTATTTTATATAAAATTCATTTTTAGGTTGAAGATGCACTTCGTCGTCGTGGCGCCCAGATTGGTATCCCGTACTGGGACTGGACCAAGCCTGGCACTCAGATTCCTGCCCTGGCTGCTGAGGAGACTTACGTTGATCCAGAGAAGTGAGGCTGATTAAAATAAGATGGATAGATAGATAGATAGAGAGAGAGAGAGAGAGAGAGAGAGAGAGAGAGAGAGAGAGAGAGAGAGAGAGAGGGCTTGACGTAACAGTTAATCACATTGTCGATACAATATGTACATGTATACCAGGACTACCAGCAATAAATGGCAACAA